ATCCAGGACACCCTTCAGGGCAAACCAGCCAGCCCCACCCATGCACCAGGCCTCTATCCTATATAGTAAAACGGTAATATGCCTCCCGGCACCGGGATCAGCGGAGCCTCGAGGCCTCCTGAACCCGGGATCCGCGGAACAGCGAGGCCTCCCAGCACTGGGATCAGCGGAGCCATGAGGCCTCCTGGCCCCTGGAGCAGCGTGACAGGGGGCAGTGCCCAAACCCCCTGATTACCCTGTGGCTCTGTTCATGACAGGGGAAGGTGCCCCAACCCCCTGATCAGCCCTACTCTGTGCCTGATAGGGGGGAGCTCCCCAACCCCCTGATCGGTCCTGCTCTGTGTGTGACGGGGGGCAGCGCTGCAACCCCCTGATCGGCCGGCCTTGTATGTGACAGGGGTGGCGCCACAACCCCCTGATCTGCCCTGCTCTGTGCATGACGGGGTGGCGCCGCAACCCCCGCATTGGCCCTGCCTTGAGTGTGACAGGAGGCGGCATTGCAACCTCCTGATCCGCTCTGCTCTGAGCCTGACCAGGGGTTGCGGGGCAGGCACCTAGGGATTGGGCCTGCCCTCTGCCACCTGGAAGCAGGCCTAAGCCAGCAGGTCGTTATCTCCCGAGGGGTCCCAGACTATGAGAGGGCACAAGTGGGGCTGAGGGACACCACCCACTCCCCCTTTCCCCGCCAGTGCACAAATTTTTGTGCACTGGGCCTCTAGTCTATATATATAAAAGCCTAAGCGACCAAATGACCGGTCTTCTGGTCACTATGACACGTGCTGATCACTAGGGGACAGACATTCAACGCACAGGATCGGGCTCCCTTCTGTCTGATCGGGCCTGTGGGGATCAGGCTGAAACCGGCTATCCGACACCCCCCGAGAGGTCCTGGATTGTGAGAAGGCGCAGACCACGCCAAAGGACCCCACCGGTGCACATATCCGTGCACTGGGCCTCTAGTATAGTCAGTAACATTCTAATAACTATGTGTGGTGCCAGATGGGTGTGAGTTGCATCAGAATGATCACTTAATAAGTTATGTAATGTCTAATCACTGTAGTATACACCTGAAACTAATACAATATTGTATGTCAACTGTAGTTGAATAATAAAAAGTTATTTAAATATTTTTAAAAAATAAAAATAATTTTCTTTTTAAAATGTAACAATAAAGTTAACTTTAGATAAATAACTATTAGAGAAATTTAATTTTTAGTGAAAGATCTGATCCTTCCCATACACTTGGAGGTAAGCCCTTGGCCAGTGTGAATTTAAAAGGGAGTTCTGTCAGACTATACTAGTGGCAAATATATCCAAATTTACCGACGGTTCCAGAGAATAGGAAATTTCTTCAGCTTATTATATGTGGCTAGTATAATCTTTATTTTTTTTTAGAATATTTTAATTGATTTCAGAGAGGAAGGAAGAGGGAGAAAGAGATAGAAACATCAATGATGAGAGAGAATCATTGGTTGGCTGCCTCCTGAGCACCCCCTACTTAGGGATTGAGCCCAAAACCTGGGCATGTGCCCTGACTGGGAATAGAACCGTTACCTTCTGGCTCATAGGGTGATGCTCAACCACTGAGCTTCACCAGCCAGATGAGACTTGTATAATCTTGATACCAAAACTAGAGATGGATAATGGTAGAAAACATATAGGCCTGTCTTATTTATGAACATAGATAACCTAACAAAATGTTAACAAATCCACTAGTGTATTTAACCATTGTCATGTCTATGATACTGCAATATGATTGTGATATTACCTACCCAGAGTTAGTGTCAGATTCTACAAGTTTAAGGGCATAGTCCCCAACAAGACTGCCCTCATTTGAGATGCCAATCACAAGTTTGAATGCCCCCAGGCCACTCAACACTTTTACTGGTAACAGGCTGCAAATCCAAGAGGATTCCTAAAACTTCACTCAGGTTTGACAATTTGCTAAATGACTCACACAACTTAAGAAAGTGGCATACTTATGATGATAGTTTATTCTAAAGGACACAGGTTGGGATTAGCCAAGTGAAAGAAATACATAGAGGTCTGGGAGGGTTTCAGAGGTGGAGTTTCCATGCCCTGTTCCCAGGAATCAGGGTTTATCATTGACTAGCACATCAACATGTTTACCAACCAGGGAGCTTATCCAAGCTATGGTGTATAGAGTTTCTATTGAAATTTCATTGTATAGGCCTGATTGAATTCGCCATATGATTGAACTCAGTCTTCAGTCCTGTCCTCTCCAGTGATGTTGGGCTGGCTCAAAGCCCCAGCCCTCTAATCACATGGTTGGTCTTTCTGGTGGCCAGGCCCCATTCTGAGTCACCCATTAGCATAAACAGGCATGAGGCTCCTGAAAAACAAAGATAACTCCTGTACCCAATAAATTCCAGGGATTTAGAAGTTCCCTCCCAGGAACCAGGGACAGAGACCAGGCAAATTCTTTATTATTTAATAATGAAAACTTTGAATTTATTTCAGGAATCCAAGGATAGGGTGTCAGTTATCATTGCTGCATAACAATTTAACCCATACTTAGTGATTTGAATCAACAAAAACTTAATTTACTTTATAGTTCAGCAATTCAGGAGCAGTATACTGGGTGGTTTGGGCTCAGGCTATCTCATGAAAATGCAGTTAAGTAGTCAGCAGGGGCTGCAGTCATCTGAAAGCTTGACTGGGGTAGATTCTACTTCCAGGGTGGCAGGCTTGTGTGGATATTGGCAGGAGGCCATCATTCCCCATCCTCAGGCCTCAGCATAGACTTCTTGAATGTTCTGATACCATGACAACTGGATCTCCCCAGAGCAATTGATCCAAGAAAGAGAGCGAAGAGGAAGCTGCATTACCTTTTAAGACCTCGTCTCAGAAGTTCTACTTTGTCACTTTCACTTTATTCTGTTTGTTAGAAGGGAGTCAGTTTAGCCCAAACTCAAAAAAGTAATTAGGTTCCACTTCTTGAAGAGGGGAATACGAAAGAATTTGTATATTTAAAAACCACCAAGGTGGTTTATACTTTAAGAAATCTCTTAATATGGATTTTTTTGAAAATACCTTTTTATTGATTTGAGAGAGAAACATGATGAGAAAGAATCATTGCAGCTGCCTCCTGCAGGCCTCTTACTGGGGGTCAAGCCTGGAACCTGAGCATTTGCCCTGACCTCCTGGTCATAGGTTGATGCTCAACCACTGATATGCACAAGCCGGGCTGTATTATTATTAATGTATGAAGGAGGATCATATTTGTGGTCGAATCATTAGATGGAAATTCAGCTTCATTTGTGATGAAAACTTAGCAAACTAAGGATAGAAGTGGGACCTTTAATGTGATAAAGAGTATCATTAAATTTTTAGTTATCTTAGAATTGATATACATGATATTGAGGCT